CATGAAGTGCAGCACTACTTGCGCATGCGCAGTGGGTACCTGGCTGTGAAGCCGCAAGCTATCACAGCCCGGTGCCCACACTGACGATACCGATGCCTGGAATACAGGACGGCCTGTGAAACAAGCTGCGGGGGACACACCACGGGACCGAGGGACAGGTAAGTGGCTGTTTTCTAAAAGTCAGCAGATACAGTTTTTGTAGCTGCTGACTTTTATTTTTTGACAGCGTGAGCGGAACTCCGCTTTAAAGAAATTTAGACAGATTGAGTGAGCCTCCCTCTTCTGCAAAAGCGGAAAAAGAGAGCCTGAAATTCTCCATTTCCCAAATGAAGTCCTCAAGAGGTATCAAACAGATAGTGAGTAATTCAGGCCCTCAGGGTGCATCGGTAACATAAATTTCAGTTCTGGACGGACTGACCCTTTAGAAATATATTGCTGAGAAAATAAATTGTCAGACATTGCAGACTTCACCAGAGACAAATGTAAATACGGATGGTTACACAACTCTGGGAGAGGGCGCTGATATCTGTGTTTGACTAAAGTGATGAGAAAACATCAACTGATTCCACAATAACAGCCAACGGAGCTCCAGCATTCAGACTGCACTTCATACAGCGAAGCCTCCAAATATCAACAATAAGGAAAAAAATGACTAAATTAAATCTGCCACTGGCAATACCTTCTACTACAAAGAGTCTGTCACAGATAGGAGGAGGAAATTGGTGCTGGCTAGACATGTTACATTATTGCTAAATCAATGCAGTTTGTTCATTTCAAGGACAAAACAACGGTGTCCTTTGTGCGTCTCAATCCATCACGCATTGCTTGTTGCATTATTTCGGCATCCAGTGGAACAGCTAGATGTATTCTTACAGCAATTTTATGATATATAATTTCTCATTACAACGCCACAATCACTACAACACTAACAACGATGGGGGACCATAGAACAGGTGTGATGATGATGATGGAAAATCCTGTCTGCCCTTAAATAATGGTACCCCTAGGATAAAATATATAGCACAGCAGGATTTTAGATTTAAAAAAAAAATTGAAAAAACATGAAATGAATAAAAGGGACAGGTAATCTGACAGAAATGTGTGTTCTTAGAAAGCAGGATTTTTTTGCAGTAAGCTGTACAGTATACCCAACTGATTTTTTTCCATTAGAGCATTAGCTGTAGAGGGAGATAACCAATGGTAGCAGCTTAGCAGTAAGATCTTTTTTCTTGGGGGGGGGGGGGGGGCACGAGGTCTGTAACCCTTTTGTGCTTTTGTGTAATTTTAGCCAAGCAAGCTGGGGTGTTTTTTTATTTTTTTTATCACTGTAAGTTGAGTTATTGATGGCTAGCAATGCTGATCTTGCTCATTTTCTTCTAATACTGGAAGAACAATATATCTCGTTGAGGCCAGTTTAAAACTTACCTGCTGTGGGATCTCTTCCTATCTGCGCAAAAAAATCCAACTTCAGGAACTGGCCCAAAGCGTCTCGTATGGATTTTGAGAGACTCCATGGATTTATTATTTTTGTTGTTGTGGGGCCCCCTTAACCACTTTATTCATTTTTCCCCTTTTTTCCCGGCTGTGTGAGCGTAGGTAAGGTACTGTAACTTTTGATGTATACATGTGTGTGTATGTACATGTTCATGAGTCTGTGTGTGCACATGTGTCTGTACACATGTCTGTGTATACATGTGTGTGTGTACATGTACATGAGGCTGTGTGTGTGTGTGTACATGTGCCTGTGTATACATGTGTGTCTGTACATGTGTGTGTGCGCATGTGTCTGCGTGTATGTACATGTTCATGAGTCTGTGTGTGTACACGTGTCTGTGTATACATGTGTATGTGTACATGTGTCTGTGTGCATGAGTCTGTGTGTGTGTGTACATATGTCTGAGTATACATGTGTATCTGTACGAGTGTGTGTGCACATGTGTGTCTGTGTGTATGTACATGTCTCTATGTGTAAATACATGTTCATGTGTCTATGTGCATGTGTCTGTGGTAATGTACATGTTCATGTGTGTACACGTGTCTGTGTGTACATGTGTCTGTGTGTATGTACATGTTCATGAGCCTGTGTGTGTGTGTACACGTGTCTGTGTATACATGTGTGTCTGAACGTGTGTGTACATGTGTCTGTGTGTGTGTACGAGTTTGTATGTTCATGTGTTTTAGTGTGTGTATGTTACTTTTAATCTTGACCCCCTATTCCTGTCCTTTCAGAACTGCTTTTTCAGGACTTGTTCGTAATAGCATCAAGGACTGCTGCTTCTTTGAAAAGCAATCCATGCTCAGATCACTTTTCAGAGGCATTTAACAGGTGGTAAAAAGGCTATATGTTGTCTCCTCGCCACCTGTTTTAACCCCATAAAAAACAGCATCACCACACCACAACGCGTGCCATGCACACACAGTTGCGGGGTGGTTGCAGTTCAACCCCATTCACCTGGAGGTCTACTTCCAGCTGCGGCAACAGCATGTGTATACCCCCAGCTGCTGCTTCTGCAGCTAAAGGGAGAGCAGTTGGGGGTTGTAAAAGCAGCTCAATTGCATGGATTTACCGCCCTCCAACCTCACAGCTGAACAAGCCCTTGGTTCACATCTATGTGGCTATGTGTAGGGCAGCCCATTCATTTCAGTGGACTGCCTTACCTGCAGAAATGCAGGGAACATCATCCCTGACCCTTTTTTAAAAATTGCACCTCATCAAAAACACCCTGGGTTTGCCAATGTATGTATGGGGGTACCCATAAAGAGCAGAGCATTTGTCTACGTGTCAGAATGAGCGCGATTTCGTGTGCGTTCCGTGACACACAGTAATGTGAACCAAGCCTTGGACAGGGGTGCCTTGTGATTGCAAATACTTTTCAAGGGCGCCCCAACTGGAAAAAGGTTGAGAAACACTACCCTAAATGTTTCCCCTGCCCTCTCTTCCAATCAAACAAGCACAGATTTGTGCTCAATCTGCTATTCCCCAGTTTTCTAGCTAGGATATTGACAACTCTGAATTGGTTCACACTTCTGCAGAGGACATTGAGGAGTTGAAGATCCTTCATATCCTTCTGCTCTCCATGCTGATGCAATTTGTTGTTGTTGGTGGTGGTGTTCGTGTTTCGTGTTGGTGGGGTGATGGTGGTGATGGTGTGGTGGTGGGGGGGGGGGGGGTCACCATGTAAAAGCCAGAAGATAGCTGTACAAAAGAGACAACAGCTCATGGCTGCTGTGGCCCTGAGCTTGTTTTAACCCACTTGAGATCTTGCATATACCAGACAAGTCCAAAGAGCCCAAGTTGCTAAAATTTACACCAGACCCTCATCAAGGATAGGCATCCCATACTGATCTTTAGGGACATCTCCACACTGTTGTTTTGCTCTCCTTGCCAAGCGGTCACCCCTTACAAACCAAAGCAGACCATCATCAATGGTAAGGGTCTGGTATAAATGTTGAGGGGAATCTCTGCTGCTATGTTGTTGACAAACAAAACCAAGCGACCAGGTGATGTCTTTTAGTGGCAATCAGAGAACACCTTGTAGGGATCTGCTGCCCTCTACTGTTAGCTGCTAATATCACAGTGTTATGTATAAATACGTATCAACACTTCCTGTCTCTGGGAGAGGCTTAGAAAACCCCAGAAGGAGGAAGTGGAGAGAAACAGAGAACTGAGACACATGGCCTTATACACACAAAAGTTGCTACTGTTGCTGTATTTTTACCCAGATCAGAAGCAGGGACCATTATGCAAGTATTCCTTTGTTATAATAGTTGAACTGCAGCTGCCCATAGCTTGAGTGTATATCTAAATCTTTGTGACAGATTATTTATTTATGTCCTTTTGTTATTATCTCACATGCACAGTGCCAGATAACTAGGTCTGTGTTACTGTGTGTGTGTGTAGTGGTCACCTTGCTGTATATTAGTAGGTGAACCTGTTTATTCCAGCCCTTGTTATTTTAGCTAGCCCTGTCCATTCTGGCCTGGGATTCTATATCTAGTTGTAGCTTAGCGCTCAAAAACCAGCATAGGCTAGAGCCAGGTGAGGCATCCAATGGTCACTCCTGGTAGTTAGAGGTCCGGTTGCATATTGGATTAGAAACAACCAGTGAAGGACTAAACAGCAGAGTAGACAGGCGACTCTGAGTTCCAGTGCCACACCACAGTCCTGCCACTGAGAAACTGTGTTCCAGGCTGGTTCTACAACAGTTGAAGGAGCTCCAAAGGACTGCTGATCTTGTCTATAGATCTTCAACACACTGGCCACATCGCGATCATCCTCAGGGGCCCCTGCAAATGAGCTCTGCTGCAACATTCATATGCCGGAGTAGTGCACAATTCTACCACAATTCTACCAGGACTCGTCAGGCCCTTTGCTGATAATACCTGTTTCTACATTGGATGTCCTAAATACTGTACTGTATGTCATATATATATATATATTTTTTTTAAATATAAGTCTTTTGTTATTTCCATACTGGTGTGAATCTATATACTTATGGTTAGGTGGGTTGCAGTAGGTCCTCTGCTGCCAGTTACTTTGGTTAGATTACTGGTTACTTTCCCAGGAAGGGAATTCCCTCAGTTTACAGAGGCCATGTCCTGGGTGAAGGCGCTGCCAACTTACTATCAACAAAAGTAGACAATTGGCGCTGAGGGGGAACTATGTTATATGAATATTAAATGAAGCATGAAACATCAAATTCAAGGTGCAAATGGAGATTGTAACAAACAATTCCAATGATGAAAATTCACATAAGGGCATAGAAGTCCATAATGTCCATGAGTCTTTGAAAGGGTTACAGGTGAAGGCAGCTTCCCGTAGAGTGAAGCAATATGTCTGTTTAACCACCTCCTGCCCGCCATATAGTAATATGACGGACGCAAGGTGGTTCTCTCGTTCTGGGAGGATGTCATATGACGTCCTCCCATTCTAACCGCGTATGCACAGCTCCCGGAGCGCGGCGATCAGCGGTGCGCTGTGTCCCTCGGACACAGCGGACCACCGATCCATGGAAAGAGCCGAAGATGTCGGCTCGGTCATGTGATCAGCTGTGTCCAATCACAGCTGATCACATGTAAACAGGGAAATGCCGGTTATCGGCATTTCTCTCCTCTCGAGCTGTCAGGTTCTCGAGAGGAGAGGAGAGCCGGTAATCGGCTTTACGCAGAGGGGACATGTACACTGATCATCAGAGCACTGATGATCAGTGTAGCCCCAGCAGTGCCACCTGTCAGTGTCCATCAGTGCCAGCTGTCAGTGCTCATCAGTGCCACGTGCCAGTGCCCATCAATGCCACATATCAGTGCCTACCAGTGCACATCAATGCCACATATCAGTGCCCATCTGAGCTGCCTTTCAGTGTCACCCATCAGTGCTGCCAATCAGTGCCACCTATCATTGCCAGTCAGTGCCACCTATCAGTGCCAGTCAGTGCCACCTATCAGTGTACATCAGTGCCGCCTATCAGTGCCGGTCAGTGCCACCTAACAGTGCCAGTCAGTGCCGCCTATCAGTGCCAGTCAGTGCCACCTATCAGTGCTGCCTTTCAGTGCCCATCAGTGATGCCTGTCAATGCCCATCAGTGCCACCTACCAGTGCCTCCTCATCAGTGCCACCTATCTGTGTACATCAGTGCCCATCACTGCAGTCACTTATGTACAAAATTTTATAACAAAAACTAAGAAAAAAAAATTTTTTTTTTCAAAATTTTCAGTGGTTTTTGGTTTAAGAAAAAATAAAAAACCCAGAAGTGATAAATACCACCAAAATAAAGCTCTGTCTGTCACAAAAAAAAATGATAAAAATTTCATATGGGTACAGTGTTGCATGACCGCGCAATTGTCATTCAAAGTGCAACAGCGCTGAAAGCTGGAAATTGGCCTGGGCAGGAAGGGGGTATAAGTGCCCTGTAGGCTAGTGGTTAAATACGTTTTCTAAGTACTGAGTTGCTTCATCAGCTGTATTTTAACTCCACTATTATGGCTTGTCATGTATATACACAGGATGGTTATAACCCTACTATTAATATTGCATTTCAACAAGTGATCCCTCTGCTTATTATTTTTTATTATTATAATTTTATTGATCATACCTAATTTATCCTATTATTAGGTATCCTTAATATATCAGTATATAGCCCCACATATGACAGTACAAATTCATATGGTCCGTTTTAAAAGTTCAATAAGTTTTTATTAGCATTTAGTTGCTCCGCCAATTTATCATCACCATGGCTTCCCACACAATCTTTGTCAGGTGATGTTTGTACCTGTATTACTACTGTATGCCAACTAGTGATTCTTTTGCTGATGCATGGCGGTGCTCCGATCCCATCCACCAATCCATGCTGCATATCCTGTCTCCAGTCAAGTGCTGTCAATCCTCTACAGAATAGCCCGCCTTGTCCGGCCTATAACAGACTGACTTTCCCTACAGCCAATCAGGTCTGACAAAGAAGCAGTTGCTTCGAAACGCGTCACCAGACTTCTCGCCTTCCTACTGGTCGCCCGCTGGGTCCAGACTTCCTCGCGTTCTACGCTGGTTAATAGCACCAAATTCAAACTTCCTTCACTGCTGACAGCTCCATCCCCATCCATCCAGAAGGATCAGGACCCAAATTTACACTGCTGGCTTCCTAGAGGTTCAGCTGAGGATTGCTTTTACATGCCTTCATACGCCCTTAGTTTTTGAGTAGTTACTAATTTTTTTATGCATTTTAATAAATGATTAACCACTTCATGTCCGGACACTTTTACCCCCCCTTTCTGTCCAGGCCAATTTTCAGCTTTCAGTGCTGTTACACTTTTAATGACAATTGCACGGTCATGCAACACTGTACCCATATTAATTTTTTAGCTTTTTTTTTAGACAAATAAAACTTTATTTTGGTGGTATTTATTCACCACTGGGATTTTTTATTTTTTTTGCTATATAAATGAAAAAGTCCAAACATTTTGAAAAAAGTGTTTTTCTTCTAAAATGTTGCAAATAAATAATCTTTCTTCATAAATCTTGGCCAAAATGTATTCAGTTATCTTTTTAGTAAAAAAAAAATAACCCAAATTAGTTTATAACCAAAAATTATAATTTTTCAAAAATCTTTTTTTACATTTTTATTTTATGCCTTTATATTATTATTTATGTTTTTTTTTTTTAACATACTGTCACCCTAGTAGTACAGTATCACCATAGTCACACTGTACTACTTGTGGGGGGTGATGAAGATTTTTTTTTTTTTTTTTTTTTTACACCGATTGCTTTTATACCCATAAAGGCTGTAAAAGCAATAATTTCTCTCTCTCTCTGGCTGCATTCTTGCAGCCATTGAGAAATACTGTGCAAGCTGTGATTGGTCACAGCTTGTCACATGATACAAGGCTGTTGTGAATAGCCTTGTACCATGTGATCTCTGTGATCATTCACAGATTTCACACGTAGTAAGCAATGATGTCAGAAGTGACATCTTGCTTTCACCTATTAATGTGATCTCTGATTGGCCAATCAGTGATCACATGATCAGGGCCTCACACAGAGGTCCCGTACAGCGATCGGTGTTCCGCTGTGTCCTCCGGAGCAGCGGGCACCGGATCGGGGTGCTGCGCGCTCCCGCAGTGAGCGTGCACAATCCAAAATGGCGGGCGCCATTAATGAACAGCAACCCGCCCCTGCACTGCCACCATCCGGCCATTTATATAGGGCAGGATGGGAAGTGATTAACCCCCTACACTCAGATTGGCCCCCCTTGTGTTCGTTCTTTTCAACTTTATTATCAAACGCACTCTTCCACATAGCGAAGATTCTGGTCCTCTTATTTACCTGCAGGTTTAGCACAGTATCCTGCTTGCGGACAGCCATTTGTCATAACACCCCCAAAAGAGGGCTACATCTTGTATTCATTAGAAAAATGTACGGCTTCCTGTGAATGGTGGCAGTGCCAAGTGTGTGACCCACTCTAGTTACTACTGTATGTAGAAGGGAGACCATCCTCCACAAGAACCGGACTAGTACAGTGACTTGCCGTTTCCACAGCCATTGCTCAGGTGTGAGAGTGTGAGATATACATAGTTACATTGGTTCAAGCTAGATGAATGTAATTATGAAGTAAAAATCACACCTAGAATTAATCTTTAAAGTGAATCTGCATCCTGATTATCTACACTAAAGTATTTACTGTATATACTCTGAACAAGCAGTAAAAGCACTTTAAAACAAGTCCTTATTCATCTCTGCCTCCATAAGCATTGTTGAGAAATTAGTTATCTAAGTTCACAACACAGAGTTGTGTTTTGCAAGGAGAGCAGATTTTGCCAATTTGCAAGCCTTTAATGTAACCACGCAGTAGATGATTCTAAGCTACACTCTGTAACCCCTTTATGCTGGCTGGAACTGGAGCTTTAAATGGGCCATGATTCCCAAGGCTGGTAAGGTGGGCTCCCTGTGAATGGTGGCAGTGCCAAGTGTGTGACCCACTGTAGTTACTACTGTATGTAGAAGGGAGGCCATCCTCCACAAGAACCGGACTAGTAGAGTGACTTGCAGTTTCAACAGCCATTGCTCAGGTGTGAGATATTCATATTTACATTGGTTCAAGCTAGATGAATGTAATTATGAAGTAAAAATCACACCTAGCGCAAAACCGATCGCTGTACGGGACTACTGTGTGAGGCCCTGATCATGTTATCACTGATTGGCCAATCAAAGATCACATTAATAGGTGTAAGCAAGATGTCACTTCTGACATCATTGCTTACTACCTGTGAAATCTGTGAATGATCACAGATGCAGCACTGTGATTGGCTGAACAATGTTGACGTTACCCGTCCTACTAACTCCTGACCATCGGTAGTTGAATGTTTGTTGTTGACTTTGTGTGCCGTGGAAGTACACCCCAGAACAAGACAGTGCCCCATATATGTGGTCACTGGGCATTAAGGCCCACCTGCCACCGCACATACAGTATGGTAAGGAGTTAAGGGTTTTTCAGAGTGAATAACTTCACATTAAAAGCAGCTGGAAAGCTCAGGGATGGCTTGTTTAAAGCTCTTTCACTGCGTGTTAATATGGAAATCATGTAAAGTGCATAGTCTATGGTAAAAATGATATTGTGTGGTATGCATCTGCACAAAGATGACAATGGGTATGTCCTGCGAACTACTATTTGTTATGTTTCTATACAGTGGTCATTGACAGGTATGACATTACCCAACCATTGCTCCCCTTCAAATGAAGATGCTGAAATTTGAACTCCCATCCTGCACAACATATAAGTCTATAAATATGCAGGAAAAAGAACAACATTCATATTTCTCAGAGCAAGTGCACACCTTCTGATAGCACATATGTTCAGGCATGCTGGAAGCTCATTCAACAGATGGTACACTTAGTATTGGTTGTAGGTCAACCACTCATACTCCGTAATTATTGCAACTGAAGCTCCATCCTGCAGCATCACAGGAGAATATGGAGCACTGTATGGCCAGTCTTAGCCAAAAATCTAAAATCATTAATGTAATGTTGAACATCTTGAGTCTTTTTTCCATACAGATTTAAAAATATGGCTATTAAAAAATAACATCTGGCAAAACACAAACCTTGCAAACAAGCTATAAGAGCTCATTTTCACGTGCAGCCAATGGACAGTAAAACAGATGGTAGAACTGCGGTTTTACTGCCCCCCCTGACCATCAAGCTGTAAGTTAACATGGCCAGTGGGGACCTGTTATATGATTAAATAATAGCACAATAGCTTCACATAGTTAAAGCATAACCAAAGACAAAACTTTTTTTTTTTTCATTTTGGAGAGTGTACGGGTTGTTTGTCAGGTTGTTTACCATCTGTGTCCCATTGGAGGGTTTTCCATTCACTTCCTGTCCTATAGCCACAACAGGGAGAAGGTGTGCCTCCAAGCATGAAGGAAATCCCTGGTAGCCCACCAGAGTCACTAGAACTAGTGTCTCCACTGGAAGATTTACCTTTCATTCCTCTTCAAAATTTAGGATTTTCTTTCACTTTTGGTGATAATGGTTACCAACACAAATAAGAAGGTTGAATCTTCTTAATGGCGGCACAGAAAGCAATAGAAATCTGACCGATGTTCTAGTCTCTCTCCACTCAATCTAAAAAAAAAAAAAAATGTTTTGCCTTTAGTTATACTTTAATGTTATACTTCAGTGGCTCTGGTCATACTTGGTGCTAGGCATTTGGCACTAAAAACAAGTAAATGTTTTCACAAAATGTTCCTGACTCCTAAAGTAACACTATCCCTTCAAAGGGTTCTGTCAAGACTAGGAGCTATCGTAGTTTCGTATGTCAATGTTGCAACATTTTAATTTTTTTAGCAGTCCTTTAATTGATGACTGTATTTAGTTTGGAAATGTAATGGTTAAACACAAGGAAGTGAAAACGCAGATGAATAAACCTAAGTGTCATAATAGCAGGACGGATTCAAATCACAAGTCTTTGAAGTTAAATCTGAGA